CCCGGATGTGAGCGCTGGCTCCCGGCCTCAGTACTCCGCACTTAGGTCTACGAACAGGCAACACAGGCAGTCTGGGCTCCCCCTTTCACACACTGCTAATATAAGTGTTACCATCCAACAAGTGTGTTTAACTCCAACCATCACATCTCCACGAACCCTCTCAACAACACGTCCTAATGTTTCCTCCCGTACCGGGGATTGACCCCCGCCCCAGACCTCAGTGTGTGAGGTGAGTGCACTAGCGATCGAGCTACGGGACACTGCGTTTCTAACGCAGTATTTTAATGCTATATTAACCCCCTCCTTTCCCTTTTAAATAGCAATGTTATGTACGTATCTCACTTCTTAGGCCAACTGCTGTACTCTTTTATGCCAGATGCAATATCCGCATATCAATGTTTATGCCGGATGTAATATTCACATCCCAGCCTTTATGCCGGATGTAATATCCGTATCTCAGTGTTTATGCCGGATATAATATTCGCATCCCAGTCTTTATGCCTGATGTTATCATGGTTTATTCCAGAGAATATGTCAGTGTTCTATATTCCACAATTGATTACGAAACTTAAGCAAAACCTAAAAATGCAGATAATGATAAAATTGAAATTTCAGGTAGCGAACATTTATTTTATTGCATATTTGTCAAGTTGCAAAAAAAAAAATCTCTCGGAGAAGCAAAATCCCCAATGAGCCATTATCATGAAATTAAAAAAATTAGCAAAAGTGGTGTTATTGTTCGCTCGTGGGTATAAATACGCCTCCAGAGTGCTGAAATACGCACCCAAATGGTGTTATTGTACCTGTGGGAACAAAGGTGCACTTCCAGATGGTGCCGTGATTCCTGGGTGGGAATAAGAAAGGAAGTCACTGTAGGAGACGGCCTTTTTAGGATAGGAGGGCCATTTAGGGAGTGCCACTGTAGGAGGAAAGTGCTACTGTAAGAGGGACGGGCTGAGGTTCATCATGCAGAGGCTGTTTTTAAGGCTTCACTGATGCTGTATTCAGTCGCGTCAGCCTTATTCAGTGTAATATAAATACATAACAAAAATAAGGCTCAATAACGAGTAAGTATGCAGCAACATTACTTACTAAATAAATTAAAATAATATACTTAAAATTTCTCCCACACAGAATGCGATATATACGTAATAATGTAAGTAAACATCACTATCGGTGTATACATTTTTCTGTGTATAAACACCGTTAGATGTTTAACTCTCACTGTATATACACTGAATTTTTTCTTTAATTCCATTTTTTGGAATACAAGTATCCATTGATTATTAGTGTACTGGTAACTCACGCGCAGTCAAAAGGCTTTAGAGTTTAGACCTAACAAACTAACTTGCCAACAAGTGCCAGTTGTTCCAGCGCCTCCAGTCATGTGACTGGTATCGCCGGGTTGAGGCTCCTCTGTCGACCACATACACACCTCACACCTCACGCAGTGTAAGGTAATCCACGAGATATAATTCCTCTCGGGCATAACACCTGAGCGCAGTTTCGCAGATCTCCTCAGGATCTCGTCTCTGATACTACACTTCCTGCTACACAATCCCTGATATCCTCTGCTTCCAGGATTCCTAGATCCTCAAACATCCATTGGCTTCTGAACATCAGTGCTACTTTCCTTCTCTTTTATTTTACCCCACCCCTCTCTCTTTTATTGAGATTTGTATGTACTAGAAAACAATCTGAGGATATAACTGGAGCTACCCTTCCTTTCTTCGGATCAGTTTTGATATCCACCTACCCTTCCCTTTCCCCAGGCTTACGACACTTACGACACACTGATGTGTGTGGTGGTAGATGGTGCTGGAAGGCGTGATGTTTGGTAGATGGTGTTAGTGTGTGGTGGTAGATGGTGCTGGAGTGTGTGTGGTGGTAGATGATGCTGGAGTGTGTGTGGTGGTAGATGATGCTGGAGTGTGTGTGGTGGTAGATGATGCTGGAGTGCGTGTGGTGGTAGATGATGCTGGAGTGTGTGTGGTGGTAGATGATGCTGGAGTGTGTGTGGTGGCAGATGATGCTGGAGTGTGTGTGGTGGTAGATGATGCTGGAGTGTGTGTGGTGGCAGATGATGCTGGAGTGTGTGGTGGTAAATGATGCTGGAGTGTGTGTGGTGGTAGATGATGCTGGAGTGTGTGTGGTGGTAGATGATGCTGGAGTGTGTGTGGTGGTAGATGATGCTGGAGTGTGTGTGGTGGTAGATGATGCTGGAGTGTGTGTGGTGGTAGATGATGCTGGAGTGTGTGTGGTGGTAGATGATGCTGGAGTGTGTGTGGTGGTAGATGATGCTGGAGTGTGTGTGGTGGTAGATGATGCTGGAGTGTGTGTGATGGTAGATGATGCTGGAGTGTGTGTGGTGGCAGATGATGCTGGAGTGTGTGGTGGTAAATGATGCTGGAGTGTGTGTGGTGGTAGATGATGCTGGAGTGTGTGTGGTGGTAGATGATGCTGGAGTGTGTGTGGTGGTAGATGATGCTGGAGTGTGTGTGGTGGTAGATGATGCTGGAGTGTGTGTGGTGGTAGATGATGCTGGAGTGTGTGTGGTGGTAGATGATGCTGGAGTGTGTGTGGTGGTAGATGATGCTGGAGTGTGTGTGGTGGTAGATGATGCTGGAGTGTGTGTGATGGTAGATGATGCTGGAGTGTGTGTGATGGTAGATGATGCTGAAGTATGTTGTGGTGGTAGATGATGCTGAAGTATGTTGTGGTGGTAGATGATGCTGAAGTATGTTGTGGTATTACATTATATCGTAGTGTATGAAATTAGATGAAACTAGTGTGGACAATGTTAGATGGAACTAGACTGTGTAGTGTTAGATGGAATTAGACTAGCTTGCGCTAGATTTGAGAAAGGAAGGCTGTATTTTATGTAGATCTAGAGTGCCAGTTATATCAAAGCATCAGTGCAGTCTTCGAGAATTCTAACCATGGCTAATTCGGTTTCCTGCACGAAATGTATGGCACGATAGTTGCCTATATCAAAAATGTTCATATTTTCAATCTCGGTGAATTCACAGATTTCACTGATTGCTTTTATTTATCTAAGCTGCTTGTAGTATATATATATATATATATATATATATATATATATATATATATATATATATATATATATATATATGCAAAAAAACCACTCTGAAAGAATAGAGAAATTCCAAGCGCTTTCGTGACTACTCACAGTGGTTGTTTTGCATATTTTGAAATCACCTGTTCACTGTGATCTTATTGCATATATATATATATATATATATATATATATATATATATATATATATATATATATATATATATATATATATATATATATATATATATATATATATATATATATATATATATATATATATATATATATATATATATATATATATACATATATATACATGTGTATATATATATATAGTGCTGAATAGGTAAAATTAGTCAAATAGCAAGAACTCATTTAAAATTAAGTCCTTTTTATAATTTTCTCTTATACGTAGGTATAAGAGAATTTAACACTACAGCCTTCTTGCAGACTATGTCTGCAAGAAGGCTGTAGTGTTAAATTATTTAAGATTCTGTTCAAAAGGTTTTTAGAAATGAACGTAAATACGAAGCTGTTTCGGGTCGCTGGCTTACTACAGTGAGGTATGGAGTTCATTATATAATGAAATTATATTTATGGGTCAAGGTTTAACCCGGAAGGGGGTCATACAGAGCTTGGGGAATGGGAGGTAATCGGATTGGATCCAAGGAAGGACAGGGACGACGGTGTTGTCCCTCATTCTTTGAGTTATGAGTTCTTCATTAGCACCGTTGTAACTGTCACTCTTTATATTGTGATTTTGTTATAGGCTAAATAAAAATATGTTTGAAGTATTGCAAGTCACAATACCCAAATAACCCATGTGAGGGCTACTTGTCTAATATCTCAAGTATATGTATTACTGAAACAAATTGACGGTAACTGTTGTTATTATTAATTATTATTATTATTTTCATTGCGCAGCGATAAATTCGAAGTGGTCATACTGCGCCAAATGGCATATAGCAAGAACTCGTCTGGGCTGCTTCAACCACCTGTGCAGGTCACGGCAGGTCAGTGAGTCTCGTACAGTGTGGACGAACTCTGGAACAGCATGCTTATGGAAGAATTGTGTTTTAATGGGTAGAAATCCCAGCGTTTCATTGCGTGTTTTCATATCGATTTCCCAGAGACGGTGTACAGCTTTCAGATGTCTGGGCTGGCGCTCCCCGGGAGATCATCATCGCCTACAAATATTGAATATATGCTCAGGAGAAATTTCAACGAGTAAGCAAGGAGTGATCCAGAGAATTTGTACAGCCTCTGTTTCTCTCTCTCTCTCTCTCTCTCTCTCTCTCTCTCTCTCTCTCTCTCTCTCTCTCTCTCTCTCTCTCTCTCTCTCTCTCTCTCTCTCTTTCTCTCTCTCTCACTTTAATATTATGCTTTTATTACCGTAGTATCGTGAAGCTACGGGGATTTATGAACATTATATAACAGATACCATTTTTTTAATATAAATAATTTTAGGCTCTGACTATTGCAGTTTTTATAACATTACTGTATACAGTTATATTGTTTATCGATTACTTTACATTATGTAAAGTAAAAGGACACAAGTGCAACTAATGTGACATTTTATTGTGGCAACGTTTCGCTCTCCAGGAGCTTTGTCAAACGTTGCTACAATAAAATGTCACATTAGCTGCACTTGTGTCCTTTTGCTTTACATATTGTCGGTAATTCTACCAACATTATTACTTTACATTAAAAGAGATTCCAGCCACTACAATTATTATTGTTAATGTACCAAGATGGAGAATACCAGTGTAATAATATTATCCCAGGCTGTTTATTATTATATTATTATATTCATGGAGAAGCGGTAAACCCATAGGGGCCACACGGCGTCTGGGGAATTGGAGACGGGACCTGTCTTTTCCATAATTAAGGTCACGATGCGATGGAACATACAGCAACTTACCTTCCAGTCAGCCTCGCGTTCCTCAAAGAGTTTTTCTATGTGTATTGATATCCTCGGCGGGTAACTATTTTTCACTGACAACACACGGCAAGGACAAGCAGAGTCCCCTCATATGAATTTGTCTTAATGTCATCACTGAAACACACTCGAGGAGTGTAAACAGGATGACTGTTCCTCACATCGCCCACTACACCCTCACTCGACCACAGTTCCAAATACACTACCCGTGTTGGACCAAAAGTGGCTCGAGCAACTTTCTCGTTGAGGTTTCCATCTCCCGTCAGCGCCATCTTTTGTCAGACTCTTAAACTATACCCAACATTTAATCAAATGTTCCGTTTACTTGCTCGAAACACCTATGCAACACACAGCTTAATCATACGTATCCCGCTGGTAATGTAAAGATACGACCATTTGCGACGACTTTATCCGGCCACGCAGGCAGCTGAGGGAGAGCAGGCGTGATTAGCATTAGGCTGAACTCAAGAAATTTCAGGGTTAATTTCCCGGTTGAGTGAGGTTCTTTCATCTCAAAAACGTATCTGAGCGAAGACGACCAAATTCCTGGAGCTTGGGACGTCTCGTACGTACGAAGCTGTCCAACCTGGCGTCCGTTAGTTGATTCTTATAGATAGCTCCACGTACATCCATATTAGGTACTGCTGCTTGCTGTTATACAGCTGCTGCTGTCAATGACTTGCTGTTACACATCATTAAGTAAAAGCTCGGCTAAAGTGCAGCAGTTGAGGCACTCTGTAAATCTTGCAAATGAAACTAGATCAGAATCTAAGGAGATAATAGAATCAAGTCATGGAAGCATCTGAGACAGATTTCTTAATTGCCACTATCAGCAACTAAGCTGACACATACTGACAACACCAACAACTGAACTGACACATACTGACAACACCAACAACTGAACTGACACACAGCATCAACAACTAAACTGCCCTATACTGACAACACCAGCAACTGAACTGACACATACTGACAACACCAACAACTGAACTGACACACTCACAGCATCAACAACTAAACTGCCCTATACTGACAACACCAGCAACTGAACTGACACATACTGACAACACAAACAACTAAACTGCCCCATACTGACAACACCAGCAACTGAATTAACACATACTGACAACAACAACTAAGGTACCCCATACTGACAACACCAACAACTGAAATGACACATACTGAAAACAACTACGCTGCCCCATACTGAGAACAACTAAACTGCCCCTTACTGACAACACCAACAACTAAGCTGCCCCTTACTGACAACAACTGAGCTGTCCCATGTTGACAAAAGTAGAAACTGAGTTGACGTTAATTCTACTAGCATTAAGCTGCCCTTTCCCTGCTGCCACCACCAGGAGCCAATAATCCTCTCCAGCAGTGTGCATATGAAGGAGAGCCAGTGATCCTCTCCAGTAGTGTACATATGAAGGAGAGCCAGTGATCCTCGACAGGAATGTACATATGAAGGAGTGCCAGTGATTCTCTCTAGCAGTTTACAGATGAAGGAGAACCAGCGACCCTCTCCAGCAGTTCACATATCAAAGAGAGCCAGTGATCCTCTCTAGCAGTTTACAGATGAAGGAGAACCAGTGATCCTCACAGGCAGTGTATAGATGAAGGAGAACCAGTAATCCTCTCCAGCAATGTACAGATGAAGGAGAGCCAGTGATCCTCTCTAGCAGTGCACAGATGAAGGAGAGTCAGTGATCCTCTCCAGCAGTGTATAGACGAAGGAGAACCAGTGATCCTCTCCAGCAATGTACAGATGAAGGAGAGCCAGTGATCCTCTCTAGCAGTGCACAGATGAAGGAGAGTCAGTGATCCTCTCCAGCAGTGTATAGACGAAGGAGAACCAGTGATCCTCTCCAGCAATGTACAGATGAAGGAGAGCCAGTGATCCTCTCCAGCAGTGTACAGATGAAGGAGAGCCAGTGATCCTCTCCAGCAGTGTACAGATGAAGGAGAGCCAGTGATCCTCTCCAGCAGTGTATAGATGAAGGAGAACAGTGATCCTCTCCAGCAGTGTACAGATGAAGGAGAGCCAGTGATCCTCTCCGGCAGTGTATAGATGAAGGAGAACCAGTGATCCTCTCCAGCAGTGTACAGATGAAGGAGAGCCAGTGATCCTCTCCAGCAGTGTATAGATGAAGGAGAACAGTGATCCTCTCCAGCAGTGTACAGATGAAGGAGAGCCAGATCCTCTCCGGCAGTGTATAGATGAAGGAGAACCAGTGATCCTCTCCAGCAGTGTACAGATGAAGGAGAGCCAGTGATCCTCTCCAGCAGTGTAGAGATGCAGGAGAACCAGTGATCCTCTCTAGCAGTGTACAGATGAAGGAGAGCCAGTGATCCTATCCAGCAGTGTATAGATGAAGGAGAACCAGTGATCCTCTCCAGCAGTGTACAGATGAAGGAGAGCCAGTGATCCTCTCCAGCAGTGTATAGATGAAGGAGAACCAGTGATCCTCTCTAGCAGTGTACAGATAAAGGAGAGCCAGTGATCCTCTCCAGCAGTGTATAGATGAAGGAGAACCAGTGATCCTCTCCAGCAGTGTATAGACGAAGGAGAACCAGTGATCCTCTCCAGCAATGTACAGATGAAGGAGAGCCAGTGATCCTCTCTAGCAGTGCACAGATGAAGGAGAGTCAGTGATCCTCTCCAGCAGTGTATAGACGAAGGAGAACCAGTGATCCTCTCCAGCAATGTACAGATGAAGGAGAGCCAGTGATCCTCTCCAGCAGTGTACAGATGAAGGAGAGCCAGTGATCCTCTCCAGCAGTGTACAGATGAAGGAGAGCCAGTGATCCTCTCCAGCAGTGTATAGATGAAGGAGAACAGTGATCCTCTCCAGCAGTGTACAGATGAAGGAGAGCCAGTGATCCTCTCCGGCAGTGTATAGATGAAGGAGAACCAGTGATCCTCTCCAGCAGTGTACAGATGAAGGAGAGCCAGTGATCCTCTCCAGCAGTGTATAGATGAAGGAGAACAGTGATCCTCTCCAGCAGTGTACAGATGAAGGAGAGCCAGTGATCCTCTCCGGCAGTGTATAGATGAAGGAGAACCAGTGATCCTCTCCAGCAGTGTACAGATGAAGGAGAGCCAGTGATCCTCTCCAGCAGTGTAGAGATGCAGGAGAACCAGTGATCCTCTCTAGCAGTGTACAGATGAAGGAGAGCCAGTGATCCTATCCAGCAGTGTATAGATGAAGGAGAACCAGTGATCCTCTCCAGCAGTGTACAGATGAAGGAGAGCCAGTGATCCTCTCCAGCAGTGTATAGATGAAGGAGAACCAGTGATCCTCTCTAGCAGTGTACAGATAAAGGAGAGCCAGTGATCCTCTCCAGCAGTGTATAGATGAAGGAGAACCAGTGATCCTCTCCAGCAGTGTACAGATAAAGGAGAGCAAGTGATTCTCTCCAGCAGTGTACAGATGAAGGAGAGCCAGTGATCCTCTCCAGCAGTGTACAGATGAAGGAAAGCCAGTGATCCTCTCCAGCAGTGTACAGATGAAGGAAAGCCAGTGATCCTCTCCAGCAGTGTACAGATGAAGGAGAGCCAGTGATCCTCTCCAGCAGTGTACAGATGAAGGAAAGCCAGTGATCCTCTCCAGCAGTGTACAGATGAAGGAAAGCCAGTGATCCTCTCCAGCAGTGTACAGATGAAGGAGAGCCAGTGATCCTCTCCAGCAGTGTACAGATGAAGGAGAGCCAGTGATCCTCTCCAGCAGTGTACAGATGAAGGAAAGCCAGTGATCCTCTCTAGCAGCGTACAAGTTAAGGAGAGCCAGTGATCCTTTACAGCAGTGTACAAGTGTACAGTGTACAACCAGAATAACTTCAAGGCAACCCCAGGTTTACATAAAAACATTATGCTCTATTGTGGTGGTGGGTTGCGCCACACTGAGCTTCACACTCATGCAAATGAGCTTTCTCATCCGTCTGAGCAACTTAAAAATTGAGAGGTTCCACCTCAATGAGTTAAATATAATTTATAAGCAATAAAAATCCATATGAAGCTGGTGAAACGGGCTTAGAGAGGACCACCACCTCGACCTCCTCTTCCTCCGTTGCAACCACACCCTTGACCCTATCCTTGACACTAACCTTGACATCATCCTTGACACTACCCTTGACATCATCCTTGACACTACCCTTGACATCATCCTTGACACTACCCTTGACAGACATTCTCGACAATGCAAGGAACTTAAACTTAAGCTTCTAGACTGTGAAAGAGTTTAAGGTTTTCTCCCTAAGTTTGCCCGCCTGATGGAGTATTGTAAGTGTTGTAAGTGTCGGGGAGTAACGTTCTTTTGACGCTACCTAATGGGGGATATGTAGCTGGTGGGGAGTACGCTCGGTGACGCTCTGCTGACGCATACTGATGGGGGATGTGTAGGTGGTGCAGGTGGTAGGGAGCACCCTAGGTGACGCCCAGTCGATGGTGAGGGTAGAGCCAGCGGTTTCTATGGTCACTTTCACACCAGCTGTCATCTCCCTCATTCACAAACACGTGAGATACCACACCCACACCCTACCTTCACATATACGCCACACCCTACCTTCACACAGCACGCCACACCCTACCTTCACATAGCATACACCACACCCTACCTTCACATAGCATACACCACACCCTACCTTCACACAGCACGCCACACCCTACCTTCACATAGCATACACCACACCCTACCTTTACACAGCACGCCACACCCTACCTTCACATAGCAAAACACCACACCCTACCTTCACACAGCACCCCCACAACCCTAACCTTCATACAGCACGCCACACCCTACCTTCACATAGCATACACCACACCACGCTCTCCATCACGAGGAACATTGTACTCACGCCCTGCCTCAGGAGGTATGTCATGTTATCACTCTCTTCTTCCCACACACAACGCGCTACATCCTCATTCCCTCTATTTCTCCCCCTTTTACACTACATTTATTATATTCATCTCCCATCCCGTCTACGCTACCCTCTGCTCCAACCTGCCTCCCTTGATGTATTTCCTCCCTTATATAGTATGGCACACCCTTCTTTCCTCCCTCCCTCATATTCCCTGCCACACCCTTCTCTCCCTTCTACGTAAGAACATGAAACAAGGAACACTTCGGTAAGTCTTCTTTACATATTATTTTTTCACTTGCGTTTAATATATTTTCTTTCCTACAAATATTTTACCA